CCAAATACTTCTCCGACAGGGGAATGAGTCCGGTAAGAAGGTTCTTTACGACATTATCTTGACTCGGACTTTTTCCAGGCCATGCTTTGTACAATTGCCGAGATTAGCAGCAAGCGACTGCTTTTCGGGACCGATACAGGAATCATGCAGACACCATTTTCCACAGCTGCGTGGCTTTACACGTAAGTTCCTGTCGAAGTTTCCAATCTAAGTTTCCAGAACTTTTTTTGCTTTCCAGGAACCTTGGATACAAATCATACAAGCTAAAGTCCGCGGAGGACCTGACAAAGCCATTCGTGTCAATGTATTTCGGTGCGGCATACGTGTGCTGGCTATCAACACACGGCGGAAGGTATCCATCCTCATCTTTTTTGCGTGGCTTACCCGCGATCCAATTTTGTTCTTCCTCTTGACAGGACAAGAAGCGATCAGTTCATTGTACAATCCTATCGGGGGGGGCCACAGAAAGTCGAGAGCTCCGAAGCTGGACCCTTTTGGCTCAAGTACATTGACAATCTTCCCCAATATCTCACAAACCACAAGTAAAAATCTCTTCTTTTTACTCGCAAGACGAATTTTTAACTCGCGTCTCTCTCTCACTTTCAGGACCCGTCACGCTGCCTGCTGCATCCAGTAAGAAAATTCACACGTTGTGTAAATTAATGCAAAAGCAACAAAATGGGGGGTTTTTGATAAAGCGGTTTAGGGTTTTAGGGTTTAGTTTGTTTCTAGGGTTTAACGGGCAGCGATGAACGCGATCGCGCATCCGGCGAAGCGCTACGCCCTCTGGGCCTCGGTGCCGCTGTCAGGTGATCTGCATTCTCAGCTCTATCCCTCTTGGATCGCAATCTTGATTCAATTCTGGGCGATCTTTCCAGTTGGAGGGCTTTGGGCGCTTTCTTACTACCTGCGCGAGCGAGAACCAGTGCCCGATATTGTGCCCGGCGGGACGTTTGAGCCACAGCCAGGCCAGAAGCTTCCGCCAAATATGCCCAAGCTCATCACAAACGAGGACACTGGAAAATGGAGCATTTACACGAGCAGAGGCAAGAATCTCTTCACCCAGGTAAGCGATTTTCTTCGCTCTTGGGACTCATACGAGAGATTCTCTTGGACAGGGTCGGCTTGATGAAGCTGAGAAGTATCTGGTTAAAGCCATCGATCACGCAAAGAAGGGATTTGGTGAAGAGGATGCACATGTTGCTACCAGTTTCAACAATCTCGTGAGTTTTCTCTTTTCTTTGTTTAGTTCTGGGTGGATCCATGGGTAACTCTCTTGTGCTTTACAGGCCGAGCTCTACAGGCTAAAGAAGGAGTACAAGAAGGCGGAGCCTCTGTATCTTGATGCTATAAGTCTTTTGGAACAGTCAATGGGTCCGGAACATCCAAGGTTACATGCTTCGATTTTTCTCACGTTTTAATCGTCTTCGGTTCTCTGCAGTGTGGGCTTCGCGTTACACAATCTCGGAGGGTTCTACCTCCTCCAGGACAATTTTCCAAAGGCCATTGAATATTACGAGGTTGGACGTTTTGCTATCGTTTTTACTCCTTCTATTGACCATTTTACTGACAACCAGTTTCTTCGTTTCAAAACTTTTTCAATAGCGAGCACTTAAGGTAGATTTTACTTTTTTATGTTTCTAAGATCCTTTCGTGACAATTTCTCTGGTAGATCAAAGGAAGGGGACTTGGTTTGAATCATCCTGAATATGCAAACACTATGTTTCACCTCGGCAAGGTATGAAAGCTTGACAACAATGGTCATTTGCATCCCGACCTTATGAACTTTTTGTTTCTTTTCTTACAGGCAATGCAGTTGACCGGGAAGCCGACGGAGGCTGAGACGCTTATTCGTCACTCAATACAAATTCTAGAGGTTTTGTCACTCTTTCTGTTTGCCGGTCAATCTCAATGACGTTGGAATGCACAGGACGGCGGTTATGGCCAATCACAGAGTGCCATTCGAAGAATGGTGGTTCTCGCAGAGGTGAAAATTTATCTATTCCGGAAAAAGGTCATGTTCTAAGCTCTTTAAATGCAGATTCTGACACAAACAAATCAACTCCAAGAAGCGGAAAATTTGCAGAGAAAGATCTTACACAGCGTTGAAATCACGCAGGTAGAACATCAGCCAGCTTTCTTCTTTATCGATTGTTCTTTCAGGGTCCTGAAGCTGCAAGCACTATCTATGCATTGGAAAGCTTGGCAGAGACACTTCAACTGCAAGGCAACTTCGATGAGGCAGAGGAACTGCTCAAGAGGTTGTTCTTTTGTATTTATTGACGTCGATGCCAAAAAAGTGGTAAGCAGGTGTCTCGACTTGCGGCAAAAGAGTAATAGCGGCGACCATATTCAGGTGGTAAAATTATGACTAGTATTTGACGACATTTTGGAGTTTGTGATTGCTAGATCTGGGCCACCTTGTTCAAGCTGGCATGCGTAGCGATGGGCCGTGCTAAAAGACATGAAGGCGACGGTGCTAAAGATGCAACGGCTGCGGAGTACGATAAAGCAATGACACTCCTCCAGCAAGCTATCAAGTAAACAAAGCTGTGTTTTTATAATTCTTTGCGCATGATGACTCAGTGCCTTTGACGTAGGATTGCAGAGAATAACTGGAAGCAAGTGACATCGGCTTCGGATGAAGTAAAAAGTTCTTATTTTCTCCCACTGGTAATGCTGCTGTTCCTGGTTCTCGTCTTTTCTCATTAAAATATGCCTCCCTGCAGGTACAATCGTTGAGCATGGCTGGTCTAGTCAGTGTGAAGAACCTTGAAGCGTCGGGAAATACTGCGGTAAAGCATCACTCCTCTCTGGCGACGCTAAGTTGTGTGTCCACTGTAGGATGAAGGGGTGAAATTGGGAGAAAAGGCATTGCGGCAATGCCTGGAGATGTTCAACTCCACGGTACGCTCTTTTGTGTTTTCGTTGGTCTCAATTGTAACCAATGGTCTGGTTGCAAATTCATCCAGGATGTGCTCGATGTTGGGGCGGCGAGGGAGAAGCTGAAATGCACCGAGCGGCTTGAAAAGCTTACGCGTTTGATGCACGGGAACACGGCCGAAGCCAAGCGGCTTAGAAAGGAAGCGTCTCGTCTCAAGGCTGAAGTGCCTGCGAAAGAACTGCGAGCTTGAGGTAATCCAGAAGTATAGAGCTTTGTTAAAATTTGAGGGAAGAAATAACAAGCGCGCTCTCTATCTTTCTCGCTCTCTCTGGCCTGTTTCAGATGTACTTGGTGTAATAAGGTGCCCACTCGCGCCGCGGTGGATCGGCGCGTCCTGCCACAGTGATCGTGTTTTGCGTTTCATCCTTGACAACAGATTCAACACCTGAATTTGGAGCAATTCATCAACGGAGAAGATGCTACGTACGTACTCTCTAATTTGTTGAGAACTCTTTTCAGCCTCTGTTCCCAGCCTGCAATGCACAGCAATGTTACCTTGACTTCCATCTCGCCCAGATGTTTGGAACGAGTGCTTGGTGGAGCTCTATCCATTCTGTAGTAGCAAAAGAGTGTGCCCCCATCATCCTTCTAAAAAGCCAACTCCACCAACATTCTCGCTGGATTTCCTTTTAGATGGTCGGTCTTTCGCAAGGCACCGACAATTCGAAAAAAGAGAATAAGAATCCACTTATTAAAGTTTATTGTTTTGAAAGGTGTTCAAGTTTCTATGGTTTGGATGACTTGCTGGAAGCAAGACCTGGAGCAAGCCGAGATGGTCCCTCAAAGGCATGCTGTAGAGCGCCTAAGTTGCCGGGCATGCTCCCCAGCGCACAGATGGATCAAAGCTCCATCTCTCAGCTGATTATGCCTTCCCAAATAAGGATATCTCCTCGACTGGAGCTTTCGCTAAAAAAAATTTGGACCATTTCTCGATTTGTGCGTGTCATCCTTGCGCAGGGGCCATGCTAATCTTCTCTGTATCGTTCCAATTTTATCTGGTGTCTCCGAAGAGACATTGGGCTGTTGGGAAGCGTGGGTATTTATATGGGTGGATCGCGAAGAGTTTTGGGCATGTGGGATAGGGCTTCTTCACAGCCCTATACCCTAACCCTAACTTAAATTTATTATAAAATGAAATTCAAAATAGTATGTACATTCTTGAGAAAATCTTTTAACAATAATCACCACAAGAACAAACCCCTTGCTCAATGTGATGAAACCGGTAAGAGTCCCTCACCACGATCTTACGACCGGCAATCTTGGAAATCACCTTAGCAGCATCGTGACACTCTACGCAAATCCTACGAGTATTGACAACGTTGATAGAGCTTCCCTGCAGCGAAGCAAGCACGCCGAAAGCAATCGCTAGCTTCAAGCTGTGCTCGTTCTCTTGCACACTCCCCTCTTGTCCGCCTTCTTCACACAAAGAGGATCCCCTCAAGATCATCATCTCCTCTTGCAACCTCTGGAGCTCCGCCACAATCTCCTCGATCCGAGGATGGCTCCAGTCCCCGGCCACAAACTCGTGAACTCTCCCTTTCACCTCGATCAAGCTGCTGCATTGATCTTCCTCTGGATCACTCTGCTGCTCCTCGTCCGTGTACATGTTCGACAGCAACACATACGGCGCCGACGCAAACGGGAGCGCCAGATCGCAGGCCAGCTTCGCGATCCTCTTCGCCCTGTCCGTGTGGGAGTGAACCTTACACGCCCCGAGCAAGCTATTCCACGCCGCCTTGTCTGGCTCCACCGGCATCGTTCTCAGGAGCTCCTCGGCCTCCTCTAGCCACCCAGCCCGCCCAAGGAGATCGATCACACACCCATAGTGCTCCGTCACAGGAACTATCCCAAAGTCCCCGACCATGATGTGGAACTGCTCCAATCCATCGCTCACCACCCCAGCATGGCTGCAATTGAAGAGCACGCTGACGAAGGTGATTACGTTGGGCTGGATGCCCTCCAGCGCCATAGCCTTGAACACCCTCCTCGCCTCCTCGGTATGCCCGTGGTGGGCATACCCCGCCAGCATGGCCGTCCATGACACCACGTTCCGCCACGTCATGGCGTCAAACACCGTACGGGCGCTGCCCAGGTGGCCGCACTTGCCGTACATGTTGACCAGCGCGTTGGCCACGTTGGTCTCGGCCTCGAACCCGCAACCGCTGACCCGGGCGTGAGTTCTTCGCCCCTCGGCTATCGCGCCCGTGCTCGCGCAAGCCTCCAGCACGCTCAGCAGCGTTACTTCGTTGGGCTGGATCCCATCCAGATCCATGCGATGGAAGAGCTCGATCGCGTCCCTGCCTCGCCCGTGCTCCGCCAGCGCCGCGATCAACCCCGACCACGACACCACATTCCGCCGCTCCATCCGATCGAACACCGCCCTGGCCTGATCGAGGCAGCCACACTTGCCCAGCGCGCTCACCAGCGCCGATCCCACCAGCAAATCGCCCTCCAGCCCCAGCCGGATCGCGTCCTCCTGGAGGAGCTTCGTGTCCCCGGCCGATCGGAGGCTCAGCGCCGCCCCCAGCGCGTGGACCAGCGTGATCTTGGTCGGCTCGAGCCTCTCCTCGCCGATCATCCGCCGGTACGTCTCCAGCGCCTCGTCGCTGCCGCCCAGCTGCGAGTGGGCCGCGATCATGCTGTTCCACGACACCACGTCCTTGGAATCGATCCTCTCGAACGCCTCGCGGGCGAGATCCAAGCGCCGGCACTTGGAGTACATGTTGACGAGAGCGTTCCCCACGAACACCTGCGTGTCGAATCCATCCGTCGCGACCCTGTCGTGGATGCTCTTGCCTTGCTCGAGATCCCGGAGCCCCGAGCACGAGCACAGCGCATGGATGTAGCTGATGTCGCTGGGCTTCACGCCCTCGGGCTCCATCCGGCGATAGATCTCCAGCGCCCGCGCGAAATGTCCGTGCTCGTTGAGCGCCGCGATCATCGAGTTCCAAGACACGACGTTCTTGGCCGGGATGCGATCAAATGCCTCCCGCGCCCCCTCCAGATCGCCGCATCGCGCTAGCGCGCTGATCAGCGCCGTGGCGACGGTGACATCCGCGTCGAATCCCGTGGCCACGACCCGGAATTGGATCTCCGCGAGCCGCGACCTATCGGATTTCTCCGGCGATCGGGCGCACGCCTCGAGCAAGCGCGTGAAGATCACTGCGTTGGGCCGGCAGCCATCGAGCTCCATCCTTCGCAAGATCTGCATTGCCTCGCCCGGATTTCCCTGCTGGATGTAGATCCCCATGAGCGTGGAGCACGTAATCGGGTGCCGCCACACCAGATTATCAAAGACCGATCGAGCCTCCTCCGCGCTGCCGCACTTGCAATACATGTGGACGAGCGTGTTCCCGATCTCTTGCGAGAATTTGCCCCCAAATCGTTGCAAGACACTGCCGTGAATCTTTCTTCCCTCTTCCACATCCTTGACGCTCGAACAAGCCCCAAGCACGGTCACATACGTGATCTCATTGGGAATCACTGGCGGATTGGAGCAATCTTGAGCGACAGATTCGCGATCTTGATCATCCCGGATGCCGCAACCCTGATCTTGGCGTCCGGAAACGATCATCTGGTGGAACAGCGCCAGCGATTCCCTCCCATGCCCGTTCTGCGCGTAAGCCCCGATCATAGAATTCCAAGAAATCAAATCCCTAGCCTCCATAACATCGAAAACCTCCCTCGCCATCACCGTGCTGCCACACTTGCCGTACATGGCGATCAAAATATTTCCCGCCAGCTCGTCCACTCGGACCCCCATGGCCACCATCCGTACGTGGGCTTCCCGCCCACACCGCAACCCCAATCCTCCCCCAACCTTCGAGCACGCGCCCAGCAGCGCGAGGATCGCCGATCGATTCGCGCGAACGCCCTCGAGGTCCATGCTCCGGAAGAGGCAAATCGACGCGGAGAAATGCCCCAGCCGGGCATTTGCTGCGATCATCGCCGCCCACGAGTGGGCGTTCCAGAAAGCCCACGAATCAAACACCGCGGCCGCGTCCTCGACGCTGCCGCACCGCGCGTACATCTGGACGGCGATGTTGCCCAGCAGCGCATCGCCCGAGTAGCCGCTCTTGAGGAGGTGCGCGTGGGCGTGCTTGCCGCGCGCCAGATCCCCGGCGACGCCACACTCCCGCAGCACCGCGGCATACTTGGATGAATCCGCAGCCTCCAGCGCCTGCTGCCACCGCTCCTCCACCGCCGCATTTGCCCAGGAGGACAAGAGCCTCCGTCCATACCTCCTCATTCATTTGCCCAAAACCCTAATCTTGTTTTGAAAAAACGGGTCGTTTATATATCAGTGTTAGGGTTAGGGCACCACTACCCCAGCCCTAATATTAAACTTTTTACAAAAGGTAAGAAAAGGGCTTTGCCCTAACCCTAACCCCGCCTACTGCCAAGTGGACAAGACGTCTCTTGCTGGAGTGCTCGAGCAAACTCGAGCTCAAAACTTTCAGCACGAGTTCCGGCAGTTGTGACCGTGCGCCCGCTCGATCTCCCTCTCCCGCGAATCGAGCGACTTGAGCTCCTGCAGCGTCTGCCCGTCGCAAAACGCCCGCAGCCACCAGCTGATCGCCTTCCAGATCTGCCCCTTGCGCTGCATCCGCGACGCATCAAACGCCTCCACGAACTGCTTGTCCCGGAGCCTGGCCTTGGCGCCCGCGTAGCGATCGTACTCGTCCAGGATGGACGCCAGCGACCACTTGTGGACCTTGCGGTAGCAGCCCACCAGGACCCCCGTGCGGTGCTTGCCCCGGTTGCAGTGGATGAGCAGCGGGTAATTCTCCACGTCCAGCACCACCCGCAGCGCGTCCCGGATCACGCCCTCGGGGATCTCCACCGCGGGCTCGCACTTGCCCTCGATCCCAAACTGGAAGAGCTTGATCTTGTTCTCCGCCACGAACTCGTGGTTGAGGTAGGGCTCCGGGCAGAGGTAGACGATGGAGCGCAGGCGCAGCTTCTTGAGGAAGGGGAGGTTCTCCGCCGTGGGGTAGGACGATCTGTAGATGCCCCAGTCCACCATGCCGAAATTGGGCGGCGGGATCACCTTGGGCGACCCCTTGCCGCCATCGCCGAGCAATGCAGCCAGCTCCGACCCATCCGACGACACATCCGAGCTCGGCATCTAGAGAGATCCGCGCTCGCGCTCTCTGCGTGACCTAAAATCTTTCCCCCCCGCGCCCCTCCAAGAACCTAGGAATCGATCGATCCGCTGCCCTCGCAACCTAAAGATCGATCGATCTCGCCGCCGCTTCGGTCTCTCGATCGACACCGCCCCCGATCGATCTTTATAGCTCCTTTACCTCAGGTTCCCGGCGACCCTTGGTCACCGCCCTTTGCCTGGTCTCCACGCCGCCGCCGCCGCCGTGCGCACAACAAGAACCTTCCAGCGCCATCTCAAGCGCCATTCCAAAAACCTCTAAATAAGTAGATGGACGGCCAGGATCGCCGCCCTGCGCCAGCCAACGGCCGGCTAGCGCCAGGACACCCTTTTCAGTTATTTTATTCGCCCTTTTTAAGTACAGGAGATATTTTTGAAAGGCGGGATATTCGACCTTTAGCGTTAACGGTCGACCGGAAAACACTGTTAAAAAAAATTTACAATTTTCTTTTCGCGCGAGAGGGATCGTCAGTAGAGACGAATTCGTGTTGTGATTCTCTGGCGACAGATCGGGCAATTCGCCAAGCTTTTTCCACAGTCTCTACACGTCTGCATTGGAAAACGCATACGTCAGATCGATATAGCGCAGAGAAAGAGCAACTTGAATCGCCCCACCTGGTGGCCACAGCCGAAAGCTAGGTCCTTTCTCTCGCTCAAACAAATGGGACAAAGCTGGGACCAACACAGACCACCAAGCTCGTGACTTCTCTGCCAGCATGAGTTGCGTGAAAGATCCAAAGTCTTACCTGGTGCTCATAGTTTGCTGCTGCTTGCGGCGGTGTTGGTGGTGCCGCTGGCGGGCGACTATAAGCCGAGCTGTTCGATCGCCCGGCGTCAGCTCGCAACACCGATTGTGGGGGTGATAGTGGCTTCTTCACAGCGTAGCTTCCTGTTGTTTGCCTGATAAGAATGTTACAGACAAGCTAAACGGGAGAATCGGTAAAGCGGAAGACGTACCCCAGGATTTCGAGCTCCATTGTCGCCCTGTACTGCGCCGGGATTTCCATTAGCGCCTGCAGCGCGAAGGATGCTTCCCTCTGAGCACCCTTGGACATAATTTCCGAGAAGTTCACAAACTGCACGACAAGAGAGATTAAGTCAGTCGCGCTAGAAACACCATAGAAAGCGAGAATACTTGGAAGTTGTCAAACAATCGCTGAGGAATGTTATCGTCAAACTGTCGCATCATGTCCCATGGCCCATCTCCAACACCAACAAGAACTATAGACAATGGAAGATTACTGCGCAAGCAAGCACCAAGTTGAGTTTTTCGCGGAAAACAAGAAGGCATTAACAAGAAGGCATTGACCTGGCTGCAACGATCGCGTCCACTGTACTCTGCTCTTGAGGGCTCAGTGTTCCATTTTCTACATCAACACTCCTGGTTACCTGTCCATTCAGACTCATCAGCACGCATAGAACTATATAATAATCCCACAAACGTAGTTACCTGGCCATCGGCGATGATAAGTAGGACATGATACTGGCCTCCACTTTGCTCAACAATGTCCATTGCAGCTTCAATGATTGGTGCGAAAGATGTTGGGCCTGCGCAGAGAATATAAGCAAAAACTACGTGCTGATCGTCCCACAAGAATAAAAGAACCTGCGAGGCGGACATTCGGCGCAATCTCTCTGTATCGCGAGAGAGCTTCCTCAAATCCTTGGCACGGCCTTTGCTCCGGATAGAAGCCAAAGACGTGCTCGTCGTGAGTCGAGGCTGCGAGCAAAGAGTTTTTTTTTTTTGCAAACTTTGCCAAGTTCTAGTTCATATGAAAACAGACTTACCGTCTCCAAAGCCAAAGCATGGAATCAAATTGTCCTCGTCGAACTTCGAGAGGGTGCGTCCAATGATGGAAATCGCCTGCTCGTATGGATTCTGGTGGTCTCCAAGAGCATGCAAGCTCCTCCCGTTGAAAGTACGCTTTCCTACAAGGAAAGGTTGTAGTTCTCAAACAATCACTGACAATCATTCTCTAGCTCGCTCTACTTTGTGATACCTGTCCATTCGTTGCTTTTCGTGAAATCAATACCCACGATAAGATTGGAGGATTCCAGGCCAGCTTTGTGTAGGGCCTCCTGGACCTGGAAGAATGAAAAGGAAGCCACTGTTCACTGACAAGAAGGAAAAAGAGAGTTTGGCATGCCTGCTCTATCGTGCCGAATTGGTCGCCAATGTGAGAATATTTGCTGGAGAACCTCCTATCCAGCGACTTTGGAAGACCTCTCGGCGACGGCTCGTTTGACGACGATCTGGGCGATGGCTCGGCATAGTAAGTGCTGGTGCTGCTCTTGGAAGAAGCGCTTCCCATCAAAGAATTCTTCGCCCTTTCTTCTCAGTCCACAAGGAAGGAATGAGCTAAATTTACAACGTCGATCGCGAAGAGAGCTCGGAGAAATCTCACTAAGAAGCACAGCGCGAACACGAAGAAGGAGAAGCCGGACATATGGAGACGGACGAGCTCACCGATCCAGCACAATTCGCCCAAAACCTAGCTCCCGGAACCGAGGAATCGACAGCGCCTCGTCAATGTGCGTCCGCCGAGCCAGATCCATCGAGCGCGCCTAGCTCGCTCTGCCCTTGCCTGGCAGGAACCTTCGTTCACGGCGTGAGCGGGGAGGGAAATCTTCCCTGGCGGAATCGCTACTCATCCAGCGGCTGCCGTGCTCGGAGCTTACGGAAAGCGTGTGGCGACTGACGGTCTGGATTCAGGCGGATTTTCTATGCCGTGGATAACTGCTCTTGGAGAGAAGAGGTCCGAGGTTCGATCCCACTGAATTCTTCGTTCTCGAAATTTCTAGGGCTGATGCGCTTGGGAGCGTCTGCATGGCGCTGGAGCTGCGCGATTCCACAGGTACGATGGCTGGAAATCTCGGGAGGGTAGCTCGCATGGGAGAATGTAGGCCTTGAGAAGATGGATAGAGCAAGGAATTCAGGTCTATAGAGCAGCACAGCAGTGGTAAGGCCGTGAGAGTGGAGAATCCACTGATAGTGAAGAACTTCAAAGCGCTGGAAGAAGTTTTTGGTAGATTTCTTCCTGGCACTGCGAAGATCACACAAAGAAAATCACCAAGGCCAGGAATGTCATGGACGCATTGCCAGACGAGGTTTTGTCTCACGTTTTTAGCCGCATCACCAGCACGGCGGACAGGAATTCTCTGGCTCTCTCTTGCAAGCGCTGCCACCATGTAGAACGACTCCAGAGATGGTCTTTGAGGCTGGGCTGTGGCTTACATCCGGTTGACGAGGCCTTGGTTCGACTGTGCAAGAGGTTTTCCAACTTGGTGGGTGTGGAGATTTCTTACTTGGGATGGATGTCCAACCAGGGAAGGCAGCTGGATGATCAAGGCCTGGCTCTTCTCTCGGAGAATTGCCGGCTTCTCACGACTCTCAAGCTGAGTTACTGCTGCTTCATCACAGATACCGGGCTTGGGAATCTGGGAAGGAGCAGCAACTTGGAGGTTTTGACGCTCAACTTCATCCCGCGGATAAGTGGTATCGGGCTGCTTTCACTGGTGACTTGCTGCAGTAAGATCAAGGAGCTAGAGCTGGATCGCTGCATGCATGTCCACAGTGGCTAGAGCATCTGGGAGCGGAGGGAAGGCTCGAGAATTTGTTTATACGCAACTGTCGAGGTGTTGGAGAGCTCGACCTTGCGGGCCTTGGCTGGGGATGGAGTAGCCTTCGCAGGCTCGTGTTTGAGGTTGATGGTAGCAACTATCGCTTCCTCAAGGAGTTTGGAAATGCTGGAGTTTGCGGGATCGACGTCAACTCTGAGTCTCTCCAGCTTTTGGTTCTTACGAACTGCGTGGTCACTCCGCGAAGAGGATTATCGTCGGTTCTCGCCAGATGCAGCAGCGCGCTGGTGGACTTGGAACTCAACATGTGTTTGGGCCTGAGGGACGAGCAGCTGATTGCTCTAGCGGAAACTTGCTCGCAACTCAAGTCTTTGACACTCAGGCTCTCGTCACTTTTCGAAGGATCGACAAGGATCACGGACGCAAGCTTCTGTGCTCTAGCGACGCACTGTGTGTTCTTGGAGAAGGCATGCATTGGCTTCAGCAGTGGGGAGTTTCACTTTGTCACTGTGGCAGGCCTGGCACTTGTGATTCAAGGGTGCTGTTTCCTGAAAGATCTCGTGCTGGAGAACGTGGGATGTTTCAACGACGAAGGCATGGAGGCTGTTTGCTCTTCGGGATCATTGGAGACTCTGGAACTGGTGGTGTGTTGTCAAGTGGGAGACAAAGGCATATCTGGTTTGGCATGCTCAAAGCTGAGGAAGCTGAGGCTTTGCCGGTGCAGTGGGATCACAGGGACAGGATTTAACTCTCTTGCTGGCAGAAGTCCAAAGCTGAATGTTCTGGAAGTTGAGAACTGCCCGCGTGTAGTGATTGATAGTTTGGAGGGTGTTGCAAGCACGCTGCGTTATAAACAGAGCTAGAATTCGTCGACAGAGGCTTCGTTTCTTGGACTTCACTACCTCGGTGACAAAGTTAAGAGGTAAGTGCTTCGCATTTGAGGAAGGTCGTGCGTTTCCAGATGCTAACAAGCGTTTTTCTTTCACGTTGGCTAGCAGGTCTCGCAAAAGTCTGGAAACGACTGTTCTTAATTTCATCTCAGGCTTTCAATGGAAGGTGGTAAGGAAGCTGCTTGTGTTGGTAGATCATGCGTTTTCAAATGACGTTTTCTACAGTGATCACGCTGCAAGACCGAGTCGCGACTTGACGATATGAGAACCCGAGTAATTGGACATATTGTGACGCTTTCCTCCTCTTAAAGGAATCATGGGACGATATCGAGGGCCTTGACGGCCGGATCTCGCGTTAATGCGCGCCCGGGAAAGAAACATGCCTTGTGCCAACTTGTTCCCACGCCATGTAAGTAATTTCCTGAAGTTTCCAAATGATCACGAGACAGACAGTCAATAGGACAAGAAGACAAACAAAACAAGCAAGCGAACGAGCGTGTCCGGGACTAAACAACACCCGAAGCGTCCGCTTGTCCGCTCTGGACGCTTGGAAATTAAAACACCCAAAACACACCAAAGCGTAAGTAGCTCTCTAAGTTGCTCGTAAGTTGTGAGTGATCTGGATCTGGATTTGCTGCCCGACAAGGCGATGTGCTTAAGACAAATCCAGCCTTGGATAGATTCCCAAAACAGTCACGATGAACAAAGCGAAGAAGAGAGAAGGAAGAAGAAAGAAAGAAAAAAGAAAAAGCTGGCGAGGTCTCCATCGCAGCACTGCGCCTTTGGCATTAAAGTCCAGCGCAAGCTTTCGGCTTGACCTTTGAGAACACAGCGTTCGTACGGGGACTGACCCCGCGCTCGATCCACCGTCCGTACGTGTCCTTAAGAATATAAACTGTCTCCACCACCATCATGGTCGTCTCGGTTGTGTAGAGGAATCCAGTCCAGCTAAACTTCACCTCCAATTCTTCGCAGTTCTAGAAGAGAAAAATAAGATTTTTCACATACAAATCTATGCAGTCAGCCAGCAGCAGGCAAAGATTTGGAGTTTTTTATCCGTGTAAGAGCAAGAGTCAGACATGAGGATTGTCACAATCAGGCATGCAAACCCACAAAGAAAAAGAGTAAACAGAGACCCAGCTTTCACTTGTTTTT